CATACATGTTAGTTCTAAATTGACTGATTCTATCGTTACGAGCTGAAAAAAATAATCGGAAAAATGATGTAAAGGTATTTTTTGAGACACTTTTTCGATCGGACTCCAGCTAACTGTTGAAAGTAAGCACATGTTTTCTCTTTACCATGATCATAGCAAGTTACGAAATTAATGGAGAATGCAGAGGCACGTTTATATTTCACTCTAGTACTATTGCTCAAAATTGCTCAAAATGTTTTCGGTGACTTTTATCAGTGACAAGTTACCTAATTAGTATGCATTTCGAGAAACCACAGTGTGTGTGCATGCGCAGTTTGAAATGGAACAGTTTTGAACGCAATAAAATCACGCGTAGAACTTGGGCTCCAGCAAGAAATTGTGGCGTCAAACTGGTTGTCGGTTGAATTGTTTTGCAATAGACATAATTTTGGAGCCTGTATTTGTCTATGAAATGTTTCTAAGTTTTGTTGAGGATTATTCTGTAAAGAAATTGCTGAAATTATTTCATCTGTTTATAAACGGGACTTTGTTGCTTTGACGGTGGGCTACGGACGACTGACGTCGAAACGTTCCATTCAGATCGGATGGCGCCCTCTCGTGCCAATCCCCCTGGTCTTTTCAGTATGCGTCTCACAATGACATCGCTATCGCGCATACACATTAGTGTATTCCATCTGTGCGTCGTTACGTAACATAACTATTTTAGAATAAAAGCTTCAAGTGGGCATCGCTGGTCACGTGATCAACAAATAAGGTAACCAGGTGTGATTTAATGTATTACGATGATGCATATCTATTTTTAAATAATAATACATAATACTTACAAATGACTAATAACATCAAATAATATACCGAGGTGGGGCACTTGACTGACAGAGGGGTACGCAAGTAGATACGTACGATCTAAATTTTACGAGGAAAGGGTATACTTTTCGCAGTTTTCAAATCTGCGAAAACCAACAAAGCGGCACTTTATATAGACAGGCAGGTCAAGCAGAAGAACAAGAAGACATTTTTAATAGGAAAATATCTTGCAGTGGAAGACCTTGTTGTTTTGGAAGTTCCACATGAACCAGACACATCAACTGCAAAGAGACGTACGAACAGAACGAGAAGAAAGCGTATCTTCCTGGTGTTTCTCTAAAATAGGGGGGGGGGGGTGATTTTATCAAAAAAGGGAGTAGGGTTGTTTTTGATTTTGCAGAACACTCGTATAGTCTAACTATATATACGGTATATCAGCCAATGCCCCCGGGAAGAATATACGTATACATGCATGCATGTGTAGTGTACATCATACATGTCCAGCGATTTTGAGCGAAAAACATTGTAGAACTCATCGAGTTGAACATCAATAATAGCAACAGTTTCAGAAGTATTTGGGCAAACTAGCTCTCAAAATGACCGACAACTCAGTATTATTTAATAATGAACAGTTGGTTTACCCATAGACCTTAAAAGACAATGTCTTTTAAGGTCTATGGTTTACCCATCTTTTTTTACCTCCATGGTTTACCCTAGACTGGAATGGATGTGTCAGCTTGAAGAACCGGCCAACTGTTTATTAAAATCCCGATGAATGATCACACTGTCACGAGCCAGTTTGCCAACTCGCTTGACATGTAGGCGTGAGTAGGCCCTCACCGGCCGAACGGCATCAAACCTCACTGGGTTTGGTTTGGACTCAGACAAGTATTACATTACTATATGTATTACTTGTCTGAGGTTTGGAGCACCGCGGAAGGCGCAACTCACGCGACCTCGTCAGGCTTTTTGCCAACTGGCCCCAGATATTTCTGAAACGTTTTGTAAATATAAATTCATTGAAATATTATATATTCACTAAGTTAACAGATCATTATCATAAACAAGTAGTCTTCTGGCATATTCATAGTCACAATCAAACCAAACCTGAAAACAAAACGAAAACTAAGTATTACCTGACTTGAGGTTGTTCGCAAACTTTCATCAATTTGCCAAACCGTACATGCTGCCCCCAATGACAACACTAGAAAACTAGTAACGCTCATGAGTATGCGCGCGTAACCCCATATTTTACGTATAAACTATTTTCAAGAAAATATAAGCCAAGGTTGTTGTTTTTTTCTTGATTAGTGTAACAACATATTCATGATGGAAATATTACGACCAGTACATTTCCAAGTTGTTGGAACGTAGCTTTACAAAGCTTGGAAAGAGCCTCACCGACGTAACTTTTTAGTTGTTGACTGTAGCACTGTTTAACTACTTTTAAATACTAGTAAATGTTTACAATTCAGGCACTGTATACGCTGGGAATCCGTTAGACAAATATATTCAACACTACGAAGGCCTGAACTATGACAGAACGGAGTTACATGAACGTCACATCAGAGCAAAACGATCACTTGACAGTGGAGTGGAGAGTGAGCGGACAGTCGAACTACAGTTTTCTGCGCATGGCAGGTACAAAGATTTCAAATCAAATAATGTTATTGTTACGTGTCATTCTGTGTTACATACTAAATACTGTCCCAGTGTTACGATCCTTGCAAGTTATAGGTTCGCATGTCAAATTTTCACTACATCATTTAAAGC